GTCTTGAGCATCTTGAACATCGATGGGGAGGAGGCAAGAGGAACGGCATGTCTTAGATGGGTCTGCAGCTGAGGTCCTGCCTCTCCCAGAGAGGAGCAGCCTGGGCCGTGTGGGAAGGGGAGTTGGGACTTCAGGGCATTGTCCTTGAGATAAATCTTATAAGGTCAACCTCCCCAGTCCCTCTCGAGCTGAGTGGCCATCAAGCCATGGGTGGCCTGGATGACACTAGAAGCTCTCCTGGATTGGATTCTTTCCCCCTGTTTGCTTTGCCTTGCCATCTGTGCTGAGGGTAACAGATTTGTTGCCAGTGTGCAGAAGGAGATGGGGTTAAGCCTCCCTAGCCAGAGTGGAGCCTGTCCACCTTCTGGCTGTGTGCAGCGGTCTGTGTTACTCTGTAGGAGGGTAGGAGGAGCTGGCTGCGCAGGAAGAGGCTGGGTCCCCAGAGCCCCAGTTTAACCAGGCATCCGAGCCAGTAGCTGGACTGCTCCTAATTCAAACAGCAGGCACAGGCCTGGCTCTGGGAATCGAGCTCATCCTCCTAATAAGGGAATCAGGTAAGGACAATGACTCAAAAATTGACTCTCAGTGCTAGGCTGGGCCTTAGGAAAACAAGGTGGGGAGAGAGGAAGCAAATGGTCTAAAGTCACCCAGTAACTTAGTGACAGGGCCATACGCTTCCAAGCCAAGTGTTCTAAGAGTCCATTCTGCTCTCAGAGTCTCTGTGCTGGGCGCTGAAGACTGAGACAGAATCCTTGCCCTGAGGCGCTCACTGCCAATGAGGCCAATGAGATTATCAGCTAATAGCAGCAGTCACATCAACTAACATTTACTGCATACTTATTATACAGGAGAATTAACTCGATGGCAATGGGTTTGTTTTGTTTTGTATTATGCAAGGGGAATCCCTGGGTGGTACAAACAGTTAAGCCAGTTGGCTGCTGTCTAAAAGACTGGCGGTGATTCAAGTCTATCCAGAGGTACCTTGGAAGAAAGACCTGGTGATTGACTTCTAAAAAATCAGCCATTGAAAACCCTGTGGAGCACAGTTCTACTCTGATGCGCATGAGTTGGAACCAACTGGATGGCAACTGCTGGGTAGGTAGGTATTATGCAAGGAGCCTCATAAACACAATCTCGTTTAATCCTATAAGGATGGTACTATGATTCCATTTTACAGATTAGAAAACTGAGGCCAGACAGGTGAGGAGCCCAGAGCGAGGTTCTCCAGCCAATGTGCAGAGCACCCAGGGATGTTCATCTGGCAACTAACTGCACTTTCCACTGCATTAGTGGTGTGCAAACTTTTTTTTTTTTCTTTTTTTAAGCAGGGAAACGCTTTAAATTTCAGAGAAATCTAGTATGTAAAACAAATCAAAGCAAAATTTAAAGGGTGAGGGCACTAGAATCCACCCATCCAGCTTCCCCTCTTGGGGCAATGTAAACGCCTTCCCTAGACTCTAGGGAAGCTCAGGCCCAGTCCTGGATGCTTTACCTGGCTGGAGGCTCACCCCGTGTCACAAACTCAGCCCCTGCAGCTGCACAGAGTTCAGAAAACCCTCACTGGGTACCTTGGTGACAGGTGCTTTCGTGCTGCTTCCTAGGAAGCCCCTACCTCCCAGCTTCCTCTCAGTGCTGCCACCAGGCATCGGTGCCCCTGGAGCAGTGCTTCATTCAGTTAATACTGTTTGTAAAGCACCTAGTCTGTGCTGGGTGCTATGCTCGTAGCTGTGGCTACAGTGGTGAGGAAAACACATGTGATTCCTACCCTCACGGAGCTTCAAGCTAGTGGGGAAGATAGCGCTTGGCAGATTGTGATCAGAGCTATGAAGGGAAAGTTCAAGGTCAATGAGATGTGTGAGCTGGGAGACCTGATCACTTCACCTCTACAACAGGACACCAAGGAGGGATCAGGCCAGCTGGTGTCTGCAGCCAATGGGGAAGGGGATTGCAGGCAGCAAGGGGGAGGTGGCCAAGGCCCAGGACCAGGCAGGACAGGGAACAGGGAGGGGTGGTCTTGAGCCCTCCTTGTTCCCCAGCTATTCTAAAGGCTGGCAAGAAGCAGCAAGCTGTTCCCAGGACCAGTGGGAGTACCTGGTCCAATATAATCTCTACATTCCTCAATCCCAAAAGGAACAAAGAAAAATATTTCTCATAAATGTTGGATTATTGCAAATCTAGGACTCAGTGCAATGAATAAAGAATAAGTGAAATCACAATTAAAACAGAAATCATTAAGCAAAGGTAACGTGTCTATGTAGGGCCAAATCCCATTTCATCTGGGGCAGGTCTATACATTAGAAGCTTTTTCTGGCTTCTCCACAGAACTTTCTCCCCTCCCCGGATCCAGGCCTGGCCCCGCTCCCACTGTCATTTATTTAACAAACATTTAGCAAACACCTGGTTGGGCAGAGCACCAGTTACCCAGCGCGTGTCTGGCACAGAGCCAGGGCTGTGTACACACTTGGCCCTCCTTGCTGAGCTGAGATGGAGGCCAGACCCAGTGAAGACTCGATCCTCCCGGATGCCTGCCGTGGTGGCCTCCCTAGCCCGGCTGCAGAAAACTCAGGCCTGAAGCAAGTTGGGGGAAGGCCAGGGCCCCTAGGGCCGGTCCCTGTGGAGCCCCTTTCTGTGTCACACAGTCTCTGGGACTCCGAGTGGAGAAGGGGGAGCCATCCTGACCTGCCAGGTGTTTCCTCTGCCGAGGCTGACACTTCAGTGCTGCTCCGCTGCCCACCTCTGTCTCCCTCTCCTCCTTCCCATCTCACTAGATGCTACTTTTGGAGGAGCCCCTTAGTCTGCTCTAGGCGCCCCTCCTCTGTGCCCCACACACCACTCCAGCTTTCAGCATGATGTCCAGGTGGTGGCTGTCTGCTAGGTCTGTGCCGCATCAGACTGCAAGTTCCTTGACAAAGGGCTGGCATCTTAGTTGTCAATGTGTCCAGGGTCTAGTGATGAGCATGGCCCAGAGTAGGTGCTCAGTACATAAATGTTGAGCACATGGATGTAGGCAAATAGGCAGGTAAAGTTGTCTTCATGCTTGTTTATTCAAAGAGCCATCTCCTCTCTCTTTCTTGCACACACATACACAGTCTTTTGCACACACTCTCACTCCCTCACTGACGCTTTGACTCACGCTCACCCTTTTTGCTGCATAATGTCCTCCTGTAAGCTCTCTCTCCCTTTGATCTGCCTGATGTGTGCAGACCCACCTTCAGTCAGCTAAATTAAAGAGCATCTGACCCCAGCCGTGCAGAGGGAACAAGCCTTGCCACACCCTTGCCTATCTCAGACGGTGACCCCTCCCTCCCATCTGGTCGCCACAACACACTCAGCAAAGGGATTCCACGTTCGAACGTCACTGGATCCTTGCAACAGTCCTAGAGGTAGACAGGTAGGAGGTAACGTACTCATCTTACAGATGAAGATACTGAGGCTCAGAGAGTTTGCGGCTTACTCAGGTAGCAGAGCCAGAGTTGGGACGTAGGTTTCCTAAAACCCAGGCCCAAGCTCTACCCTCTGAGCCAGCCAGCACTTCTGGAAAGCAGAGATGAGATAGGATGCTGCCCTTCACCCACCATCCCCTGAAATCCTGGTATCCAGGATGCGGGAAGGAAATCCCTAATTTACCTCTGAGGATTGAATGGGGGAGGTTTGAGCCATTACCTAACCTCTTTCTCCTCCTCCCAGAAGCAAAGCCACTGAGAGCTGCTGTCTCCACACCCTCTCACCTCAGACCACCCCATAATTCTGCCAGGGAGCCTGCCGACCCTCCACATTGCATGTGTTGTCCACTGAAGCTGGGTCTCTTGCAGAGGCAGGGTAGTGGGGAGAGAAAAGGAAGGGCAAAAGGGCCCGAGAAAGGAGACAGCAGACCCTCACCATTCCCCCACCACAGTGTGCACCAGGATATTACCACCTGGTGGCCGGATGCTTGGGCCATGTCATCAGAGCAGGTTGTATGTACACAGCCTTTATTATCTCTTACTGTTATTTTTTAAAATTCCGACCAGGGGTGTGTGGGCCTCTTTCCCTGAATATCCCATTGCCACTTCCAATGCATCTCCCTGAAAGACTCTTCCTTCTCGAAAGAGAGCATGAATATTTAAAGATATTTTTTCAGCCAATGAAATCACATTATGCGGCTGATCTCCCTTTAAATTTTATCTCCAGAAAGTTTGCCAGAGTCTCTAGTCCTGCCTGCTACAGAGTATAAAATGGGGTTCAAGAGACAGAGATCACCCCTGAGATGTCAGCACCCCCTGAGGGGGACCAGGGCTGCCTGCCGAATCCTGGGGCTGCGTGATGTGCATGCTGTCCTTTCAGGCCCACAACCACACTTTCTGCCTAAGAGCTAATCCTGCAAACTGCCTGCCACCTGAGTTCCTGGTGAAGCAGAGAAAATTGTAGGGATGAGATTTGGAGGGACAGGGATCAGAGAAACAGACGATTTGCAAAGTTGCAGGAGCGCAGAACCCTGGGACCCCAGGAGAGAAAGCTCTTGACACATTCGTCACAGAACTGATACAAACCCTGTGTATTCACCAGTGTGCAGCCAATCCCAGCCCCGTGCCATCTCCTGCTGGTCCCTCAAGTGTCTCCCTCCACTGTGTGGAAGTACTCACAGCCCACCACATCAAATGCCTCTTTTATCAACAAGACACCACACTCCGTGGATAACCTCTTGAAACTCCAGTCACGCTAAGCCACCTCCAATACTCTGCAAAGGGTTCTGTCCCTCTGCCCACCTATAACCAATCAGCCACACACCACCAATCCCATCTCCAAAGTTCCAGGCAATTACAGCCGGCTGAGCTCCCTGGCGCCGTGCCTGACTGCTCGAAGCCAGGACCCAGGTTGTCAGCAACCTTGAATCCCAGCCTTAGACTTCCCCCAGCCTCCTCTGAGACCAAGGCACCCCAGAAAGGCCACACTTACCACGTGGAGGCAACGTGGCCAGCCAGGCCGTATCAACGAGACAAGGGTCAAGGCCAGACACCTACCTTTGCTGAGGGTCCCAGTGATGAGCTTAAAGATGGTCTGGGCAAATTTCACAAACCCCAGCTTGCATCTCGTGGAGCAGCTGCTCATGGTGGCAGAGGAGAGGCAGGCTCTACTGTCAGTGCCCAGAAGAGGAGGCTCCCACTTGGCGTGCCCCTAGAACTTCGGAGAACCCTGCGAGATGGCTGAACCCCAGAAGCTGGTCTCTTGGAACAGCACAGCTGCCTCTGCAGTGAGTCCGGCTTCTGCATCCAGAGAGGCTGCAGGGCACAACGTGTGCTCCCTTTCTCCCCCCTCTCCCCACCCACTTGCTGTCCACTCAAGTCCTCGCCATGAGGGGACCGCAGGATTCCAGGACTGGGTGGCACAGCCAGGGCACAGGCACTCTCAGGGCACCGTGAGGAGAGGGAGCTGAGCAGAGCGGGAGGGAGGAGCTGGAGCTCTCCCTGGCTTTGCTGACTGTCTTTCTTACATGGCAGTGGTAAAGTAGCAATTAATACTCGAGTCAGAGGGAGGGGACTGCTCCACGGTGAACACTGGGCTCCACAGCCTCCCACACTCGCTCTCCCGCTTTTTCCTTCCTGATTAATCTAATAGATCAATTTGCTTTGCCTTGATCAGGATCCGAGAGCTCCCCACGGAGCAGGAAGCCAGCTGCTCCTAGTGGAAAGTTTGCAGGCGACCTCAGAGTGGCCTGGTTTGCATCATGGAGAAGTCCAGCGGGGTAGGGAGGTCCCCGGGGCTGGTCTGCCTTCCTGACTCGGCCCAGCTGATGCCTCTGCCCCACACTCAAAGTCGGCCTATTCATTTCCATTCTCTAGCTGCTGCCAAAGAGTCAAGTCTATGCTCTCTTATCAGAAAGTTGTTGTTAGGTGCTGTTGAGTCAATTTCCCACTCATGACTACCCCATGTGTTACAGAGTAGAACTGCCCCATAGGGTTTCCTTGGCTGTAATCTTTACAGAAAGCAGTTTACCAGGTCTTTCTCCTGCAGAGTGGCTGGGTGGATTCAAACTGTTAACCTTACAGTTAGCAGCTGAGTGTTTAACCATTACACTACCAAGGCTTCTTATCAGGATAGAGAACAAAAAACCAAACCATTGCCACTGAGTCAATTCCAACTCATGGCAATCCCACGTGTTACAGAGTAGAACTGCTCCACAGGATTTTTTTGGCTGTCACCTTTACAGAAGCAGATTGCCAGGCCTTTCTTCCATGGCACCACTGTGTAGATTCAAACCATCAACTTCTAGGTTGGTAGTTGAGTGCAAAACTGTTTGTGCCATCCGAAGAGGAATGCAATTAGGGCTTCTTCTTCTTTTTCTTTGATTAAGAGAGTTCCTCAGAAATGTCATAAAGGAATGGCTGAAATTAAAACAATTTGACTATAGTACAATACTCTAAACAGTAAAATTGCAAGGTATTATGCAAATATAAAGTCTGTCAGTTGCTGGCTAGTGGCCTCTGACTCACGGTAACCCCACGTACAAGAGACCAAAATGTTGCCTGGTCCTGCACCATCTTCATGATCTTTGGTATGCTCGAGTCCCTTGTTGAGGCCACTGCATATTTTGAGTGCCTTCCAACCTAGGGGGGCTTATTTTCCAGCACTAAATAGGGCAATATTTTGTTGTGATTCATAGGGTTTTCATTGGTTGATTTTTGGAAGTAGATCGCTAGGCCTTTCTTCCTAGTCTTAGTCTGGAAGCTCTGCTGAAACCTATTTACCATGAGTGCCCCCGCTGGTATTTGAAATACCAGTGGCATAGCTTCCAGCATCACATCAACACTCAATACACCACAGTATGACAAAGTGAAAGACAGGTGGTGAACATAAGGTCTAATTATTGCTTAATAAAGAATCTGGCTGCCATTCAGCATCCTAGACTATGCAGGCTGGGAGGAAGCTTAGGGGACAGCCTATCGAACCCTCTACACAGGGCATGGACCTCCCTCCACAATATCCCACTTAACTTTCCTCGGTCCTCCAGAAGGTCCTCATGGGTACCACCTGTCAATGAGCTGTGACATACGAACAGCAGATATGAAATTCACTTTAACTTGGATGAGGACCTGCTCTGGAAAGTCTCTTTTCCTCTCCAGCAGCTTGTCTCCTTATGATCTGCTTCTCTGGGATGTTTGAGAGAAATAGGCTGCTTAAGAGCTGGAGAATGGAGACTGTGGTTGACAAAATGTCAGATAAACCAGAACTCATGCACCATGTCTGATTTCTTCCTCATATTCTGCAAATTGTGTGCAGATGAATCTCAAAGGAACAAACGTCATCCCTTAGGGTGGTCACTGATAAGTCTCAGCTCCGAGAAAAGGTCCCGGAGACATTCTACAACCACAGACCTTTCTCTAAGTCCTGAAGTAGGCTGAGCTCCCTGACTCCCCAGCGTGATATGAATTACCACATCTACAGTAAAACCTGTGAAAGCTGGAAACTGCATAAGGCAGAAACTTCTCAGAGAAGAAAAACTCAAATATTTTCCACTAAAATTAGCAATAGAAAAGTGATAAGACTGTACCTGTCAAAGGTGGAAAACTTGCAAGACCCAGAAAACCAAGGCAGTCCCGTCGAGTTCCAGCTTTCACAGGTTTCACTGTATAACAGAATGGGCCCCCAGTAGAAAAGACTCCATTAAGCCTGATTTTCTTAGGACCTGAAATTGTCACATTATTCACTCTTTGACTTAAGGCATCAAAGGTCCCAGTTAAAATGCATGTGGTACCTGGGGATGTTTATGGCACTTAGTGTTTTGTTCACTTGTTCACTTATCCAATATGTAATGAGCTCCTAGTATGTAGACAAAGCTGGGCAACCAGGTTCCCAGGAGCACCGAGCACCCAAGATGTAGAAAGTGCTGAGCTAGGCAAACTCGACAGACATGGTCAGCAACCCCATGGGCCTCGCAATGTAGAGGATTCATCATTGGACAGAAAGCCTTTGCGAAGAATCAGTTTATCCGATTCATGTTTTTCACTTAGCAGAATCTGCAACACAGGGCAGGTAGCTGTTAAGAAGGATAATGCGAGAACCAAGGCATGGATCAGGGAGGGACAGGAGGGGGCCCTGGACACCGAGGATGAGGGAAAGGGTTAGAGAGAAAAGTTTGTACCACCTGGAAGTTTTGCCAAGGGGAGTCCTGACCCCTGAACAGGGGAGTGCACTGGGAATCTCAGCTAAGTCCCGTCTGCTTCTCTCTCCCATATTGCCAGAGAAGCCAGAGGAAACAGTGACTGAGACTTTAGTGACATTAACTGACCCAGACTGGAAATCTGGCCAGAATCCTGCTGGGAGAGTCATTCCTAGAAGACTCTCAGTAGCATTTGGGGATGACAGGAGATGTCCAGGGTGGATCCAGATCAAGAATCTGGAACCCCAACATTTGAACAAATAGGGGGAGAGAAACAACAGTACCTGTTGTTGGAAGGGGTTGATCAATCCTATAAAATGAGCGCTCCATAACTTTTCCAAGCAATGTGCATAATGGTGAAGAGCTTGTCTTCGCACCAAGTAATTATGTAACTCATTCACTTAGGCTACACCTATGTATTGAAATAGTATTATGGACTCTGTTCCAGGTGCTGAGGATACAGTGGTAGACAAGATAGACAAAGTCCCTGGGCTTACAGAGTTTACATTCATGAGATATATCAGCAAATATATCTCTATAGTGCTTTGAAGGAAAAAAAGCAGGTTAAGTGGATGGCCAGTACCAGGAGCTCCTATTTCAGACAGGGTCATCAAAGAAAGCTTCTCTCTATTAAAATGACACTTGACAGCTGCTGTGGAAAACAGTTTGGCGGTTCCTTAAAAAGTCCAACATAATTACCATATGACTCAGCAATTCCACCCCTAGGTATATACTCAAAAGACTTAAAAGCAAGGACTCAAACAGATACATGTGCACCAATGTTCATGGCAGCTTTATTCACAATAGCCAAAGGTGGAAACAACCCAAGTGTCCATCAACAGATGAGTAGGTAAACAAAATGCGGAATGTACATGCAGTAAAATATTACTCAACCATAAAGAGAAATGAAGTCCTGACACGTGCTACAACACGGTGAACCTTGACAAGATTATGCTGAGTGAAATAAGTCAGACAGAAAAGGACAAGTTTTGTATGATCGCATTGATATGAAATATCTAGAATAAACAAATTCATAGATACGGAAAGCAGTTAAGTGATTACCATGAGCTACGGGAAAGGGGAAAGGGGGAGTTAATATTTAGTGGGTACAGAGTTTCTGTTTGGGGTGATGAATAAGTCTTGGAAGCAAATAGTGGTTATGGTTGCACAACATTGTGAGTGTGATTAATGCTACTGGAGTGTATGCTTGAAAATGGCAAAAATGGAAAATTTTCTGTAGCGTATGTTTTACCACAAAAAAAAAAAAAGACATTTGAGATATCCAAATATAGTCATATAGCTCTCTGAAGGGAACAACAGTCAGGACTGAGGGAACAGCACGTGCAAAGGCCCAAAGGCAGATCTGAGCTCAATTCTAGGGTCTGCAACTTAGTAGCTGCTGGGCAAGTAGGTGAGCTTTATTTAGCCTCAATTTTCTCTTCTATAAAGTAGGTACAATAATCCTTAACTCATAGGGTTTAGGGAGGTTTAAATAAATTAAGGTTCTTAATAAAGCGCCTGGCACATAGTAAAACACTTTATCAATGACAAAGGTCATCATGGCTCTTGCTCCCACTGTTGCTGCTGCTGCTTCTTCTGGTACTTCCCCACCCTCCAGGAAAACTCTGTAACATACAGGACTGGACAAGAGACATTCTCTATCAACCTGGATTCTTGAACACCTACTGTGTGCCCAGCCCCATGCGCATGCTGTGGAGTGCTCCAAAGGAAGTGTGAGATGGATCTTGGCCCTCACATGAAACCATTATTATAAAATTGCTGTTCGATAGCAGAGACTGGCTGTGAGGGGTAAGAGAACCCCAGAAAAGGAAGGGAAGCCTGAAGCTGTAGTGAGAGGAAAAGAATTCACAGAGGTAGAAACTGAGTGAGGAAAATCAGTAGAGGCTGTTGTCTTAGTCGTCTAGTGCTGCTATAACAGAAACACCGCAAGTAGATGGCTTTAACAAACAGAAGTTTATTCTCTCACAGTCTAGGAGGCTAAAAGTTTGAATTCAGGGCATCAGCTCCAGGGAAAGGCTTTTTCTCTCCATCTGCTCTGGAGGAAGGTCCTTGTCATCAATCTTCCCCTGATCGAGGACCTTCTTAGCGCTGGGACCCTGTTTCTAAAGGACACGCTGTGCTCCTGGTGCTTCTTTATTGGAAGTATGAGGTCTCTCTGCTTGCTTCTCTCTTTTATATCTCAAAAGAGATTGGCTTTAGACAAAAATCTAATCTTGTAGATTGAGTCCTGCATCATTAACATAACTGCTGCTAATCCCAGTTTATTAGCATCATAAAGGTAGGATTTACAACACATAGAAAAATCACATC